TGCCCCTTGCCCTGAAATCCCTGGTTACTCCCAGCACATCACACCTTGAGCGGTCACCGAAATGTGACAGCAGGTGGAATCATGCTCATGTAAGCTCCTGCTCTGCATTCCCAGTCAGAGGAGGACCAAACATCCCTCTGTCCCACAAACGAGCAGACTGAGCTGCTAAGCAGGTTGAATGACTGTAAGCAAAACAAGTACTCCCTCAACATGTTCAGCAACTTCAGGAAGAACGCATGTAGGATGCACAGGACAGCCCTAAACACCTGAAGAAGGGGCAGCAGTAAAAAAAACCAAACAAACAAAAAACTCCCCAGAAGAGCCTGGGAAGGATCATGAGCCTATTAATATGTAACTGCCCCATCACAGTGCTGGAGGCCAGGCAGCCCACAGCACCAGCGGGTTATACTCAGGCAGAGAAGACAGGTGGATTCTTCACAAGCACAGCACAATTGCCTAAGCAGCAGAGCCTACCATTCACTCATGTTGAGCCTCAGCATCTTTCCTATGTTCCTGCCAAATTTCCCAGTCGCCTGTGTAAGCTTCTGCCCTCCCTCGACCTCTCAGACTTGCAGGAGAAGAGAGACAGCAGCAAGGGCCAGGCTATGTGCACGCAACATGCTCAAAAGATGGAGATACTGCTCCCTAAGGTGTGCCACAGAGTGGAACAAGCACCATCACCCAGACTGCTGGATGACATGTCAATCTAGCGCCAGGACACTGAAGGCCCAGTCAAGCCTGGCGCAGCACTGCTCAGCAGAAAGGACAGGGCACAGTCTCTTCTTGTAGAGAAAAGAGCAGAAAAGCCTTGATTAGTTTATTAAACAAGAAGACAAGAGAGATCAGACAAAATGAGGCAAATGTGAAGAGGCAGATGGGGAGGGCAGGAACCTATACACGGGGGTGTCTCGTAAGAAATTAGCTGCCACCAGCATCATCCAAAAACCCCCATGTTCTAGGCTAAGGCCACAAACAAGCACCTGCACTGGGGCGTGAGGTGGAGAACACCACCACAGATGACCGCTGTATTCGTGGCACAACTCTATTAGCAGAAGAGTTAGAAAGACAGTAATTTCCAGGAATTAACATAAACATTTACGACTCCCAACCCTCGCATTTTCATCTTCCTGGAAGAAAGCACACACAGTCCAGTTTTGGAGCTCAAGATGGGCAGTGACTTTTTCAGCATACCTGTAGAGGGGATCAGCAAACTTCTCCAAATGCTTAAGCAGTACTTCCGCACATCTCTGGGATGCAGATGTTGTCTGCTACATGCTCAGGATTAAACTGCTTCCACAGAAGAGCCACAAATCGACTGCACCAGGTGTAGGTTGATTTGAATTTCTGAAGGAAGATGATCTCTGCAGGGTTTCAGAAGTAGGAGTGTGGAAAAACATGAGAGTGGGTCACAGGGCTCCCACTGTTCCTCAAAGTGGTGTCATGCAGTAGCATGTAAGAAGGGAAGACACTGATGTTGACCCTTCTTTTCTGCTCACAGAAACAAGAAAGCCAAGATCTAGCTGAAATGAGTGCTTCCTAGAGGCTCATGTGTCTTGATTTTTAGACACCTGGGAAAGCTGGAAGAGCAAGTCCTTTCGAATAATAAGTGATGTCCAAATACATACGAGATAGGGTATCAGGTTGGATGATGAACTGCTCAACAAAGCTCCTTCCGAAGAAACGTGCATATGTATATTCACAAAAACACAGTGTCCCCAAGCTGATGCTCTGAAACTACTTTCAAAATACCCATCAGCATAAACATAGAACTGTCCATAAGCAAAATATCTTTATCATTCCCTCTGCTAAACCTCAAAAATGGGAAGAGATGGGCTTCAGAATGTTCAGTTGAAAATAAAAAACAAACCCTGTGTCCTGCTGCGCGTGAAACAGTACTGTACATAGGTGTCACTTCTACCTGCTAATCACTGCTGCTGTAATGCTTCCCAGGTGCAGATTTTGCTGCCAGAAATGTATTCTCTCCCAAGGACTATAAATTCTGGTTGTAAAGATGTCATATGTAAGATACTGGCAATGGCATGTTTCTAGCCTGTTTGTGTGCACCTCGCAAGAGTAAGAGGAATCATACTCTACATCTAAATCCTGTCTCCAGGTAACTAACAGCTGGAAAGCAAAACCTTCCCTTGTCCTGTGTAGCTTCCAGTGTATTTTTCCTCGCTAACAGGTTACCCTTTTAATTCATAGACAGTTTCTGCCTTAATATCTGAACAGGCCCCACACACTCTGACCAAAAGACACCTAACTCAGCTCTGCAACAGAAAGGCGGTTGAAGGCATTTTATGGAACAAGCAAAGAGCCATGATTATAGGTCTTTATACTCATATTAATAAAAAGCGCAAAAGCACATGGCAATGACCACAACCTGGCACCATGATTTCTGGAGCCTCCTGCCTATAAACATAAGAAAGGGTTCAATTTTAACACCACGGCTGGCCCATATTCAGAGCACAAAAGGCACTGTCATCTCCAGACCAGTTGTCCCATGACTTCTACTAGCTTGTTGGCTTCACAGAATCCGCACCATAGATGCTACACGTTACCTGACCTGCGCACAGCACTACGGTGGACGGTGGCATACTCCCAGTCCGATGTTCCCATGACATGGGTAACACAAGTCCAGGTTTAAATTACATAGCAGGAAAGGGGTTAAAGTTTAAATGACTGTTTTGTATATGAATTAATGTATGTAACTTTGAGCCAAAATATCTACCATTAATTTTTCCACCTATTTCAGGAGCAGTAAGATACACAAAGTAAAGTTTATTTTGGTACTTGGTATACTTCACTCTCATTAAAAATAAATTAATCAGCAAATTCCTACACAGCTCAGCCTTCTTTTATGTAAATACAACCCAGATGTAATGAATTACAAGGTGTTATTATCTCACACACACTGTATAATACTTCACACATAAGAGGTTTCTCTGCTTAGCTCAGCTTTCAACAAAAGCATCTTAAATAAACTGCAAGCAAGTTGTTTGGTCTGTAATGTTTTCACAGAGAAGGGATACACCTCACACATAGAGGGTTTCTTTACATGACTCATTTTATAACAAGTTAAACTGAGGAAGTTCGCCTTGGAAAAAAAATAACAAAATGCCTTTTTTATACATAGAAGGCTCCCTAAGAGAAGACTTAAAAAAAAGGCAAGCCAGTGTTTAGGAGCCTATATTCTGCATCCCACTGCTCTTTACACAGAGAAGGGATGTCAAATATTCCCCAAAACACACAATATGAAGAAAGCAACTTCAGAAGAAGTAACAGTCACAGTCAGGCACAGTCACTCTTTCACTAAAGATTCAAAAATTAAGGATTAATTTCACAAATTAAGGGTTATCACCTTTGAATTTTGCTTACTAGTCTTACTAGGAGTAAGTCCTGATGTTATAGGGCTTATTCTTATCAAAATCACGTCACAGAAAACACATACTCATCAATTTTATCCAGACTGACATTTATTATTGATTAGGATCTTAGACAGGAGAGAAATGAAAACTGGTTTTGTCCCTGAACTGGAAATAGCCTGGTGAACCATCCACCTACACAGTACACCTCAGCCTCTGCTGATTTAATCAATGGAGCTCTTGCTCCTGTAATTACTATGTTGGCACAATTTACCTGCGGAGTCATATAAAGTTTTCACTGGGCTTGACAGCCCTTGTTAAAAGAAGCCCTGGACCACTGCTTTGGGACTGGAGGATAGTAGAGTCCTGTCCCAGTAAGAGCCATGGACAGAAAACAGGATGTTCTTTTCACAAAGAAACTCTTAGACCACAACACTAAAATTTCAGCAAGGCAGACTGAAAATACCAAGTACTCAGAGGCAGCTTTAAAGTGACAGCCCAGCCACGTTTCGGACTTCATTCTCATTAAGATGGCTAGAGACATCGAGAATTACTGGGGACTGTGTGTTATCCTTTGCATCCTCCTATCCTCGTGCAAGAGCTGAGTTCCTAAAAAGGATTTTCACAGAAAACCCTTCAGAATCTGTTAAAGCAATTCTTAACTCCACTGAAACAAAAATGAACCATTCCTTCTTGTTAACAGGCTTTTAAAATACGTTAACCTCTAATATGCAAAGTTCAGATTTGCATTCACAACCATTCAGTGAGGAACACTGTTGTGTCTCTATGTAGCAGCTCTCAATGAGGCAAAGGGCTCATTCATGGACCGGGGGTCCATGAATGCAAGGGACTCGCATGAGTCCCTTGCAAGGGGTGTTGTCCTTCAGGAACAGCCTGCTCCAGCACGGGCTGCCCACGGGGTCACAGCCTCGTTCAGGCATCCCCTTGCTCCGGTGCGGGGCCCTCCCTGGGCTGCAGATGGGTCTCTGCCCCACCGTGACCCTCCATGGCTGCAGGGCACAGCCGGCCTCACCATGGGCTGCACCACAGGCTGCCAGGGAACCTCTGCTCCAGTTCCTGGAGCACCTCCTGCCCCTCCTTCTCTATATCCTGGGTGTCTGCAGAGTTGTTGCTCGCTCCCACATATTCTCACTCCTCTCTCAAGCTGAATTTGCTGTTGCCCAGGTTTTTTTTCTTTCTCCTTCTTAACTGTTATCCCAGAGGTGCTACCACTGTCGCCAATGAGCTCAGCCTTGGCCAGCAGTGGGTTCGTCTTGCAACCGGCTGGCATTGGCTCTGTTGGACACAGGGGAATATTCCACCACCTTCTGACAGTGCTACCCCTGTAGCCCCCTGCTACCAAAACCTTACCATGCAAGCCCAATACAGACCATTCGGTGCCATAAAAAGGACAGAGGTTCTCAAACCAACTAGCCTTTATTTGCAGGTGAACATTCAGTAGAGTATGGCTGTCCAATTTGCTACTGAGTCACCACAGACAGGACATCTAATTAAGTATTTTCCTTTCAACAGCAGATTTTCCTTCCTGACCCCACAGCCCCAGTCCAGTTCAAGTTCAGGCCTGCTTGCCAAGCTGACCTGACAAATTGATAGAAACATCAGGTGGTGGTGCTCTCAGAGTCCTTCGTCATTGTACACAGGGGAAAGGGGCTTGAGGATGCTGCGGGCATTGCTCTCCACAAGCGGCCGCCAGCTCACCTCCCCCGTCAGCAGCAGGTCATCCCCGCTCAGCGCATCCAGGTGCTGCACCTGCAAGGACAGGATGTTAGTGCAAGGCGTCCCATCACCCTTCAAGTTCCTCACAAGCTATGCAAACACACAGTTGCTTTCCAGAAAGAAAGCAGAACAGAGATATTTCAGCATACTTTGCTGTTTGTGTGAGGCAGACCTAAAAAGATCATTTTTGACTGCTTAAGTGTCGTGGAAAGGCTAGGAGATAAGTATCTGCAGATCCACTGGTGGTAATTGCATAGTCTTCTACTAACTCCTTAGCTAATGCTTCCTCCAAAAGTTTGGCAACAGGACAAAGAGGAGCCATGAAAAGCTAACATGAGTCACGTTATCTTCCGGCAGTTAATTCAGAGGGCATACTGCTAACACCATCATCTACATGGAGTGCTCTCACAAAGGTGGTTTCACACAGACCAAGGTTTTTCACTACAGAAAAAACAGCACCTGAGATTTATAACACAAAAGCACATGAGCTGGAGGAGATGAACATGGAATGAACACTCATTCTCACAATACAAGAAATACTTGGGATCAAATGAAATGTTAAGGTGCAATATAAGCAAAGTAAAAAAAGTTGTCACATAACACAGGGTTAACTTGCAGCCACAGGCCACTGTAGACAGATTGGGGAGGGGGGTAGTGTGGAGCAGAGAGGACAATCCCACCACCTCTGACTCAGGAAGTCTGTGAATGCCGATTCCTAGGAGAGCTGAGCAGGGAAATAGTACACATGCTTAGCCTCTTACTATATTCTTCTCTGGCATCCACTAATAGCCACTGTTAGAAGACAGGATCAGCAAGAAATTGTGGGAAAGACCTCATACACAATGCATACTGGAAACCAAAGATAATTTGACAAGCTGTTTCTCAACAGAGGAAAAAGCACACCGAGAGCCACAGAGGGTCAGACTGAAGAGCCACCTAAGCATAATCCTGTTTCTGACAGTCATCAACAGCAGATTCCCCAGGAAGAGTTAAGCCCAAGGCATGCATACAATGTTATTCTCTCAAAATTCGTTAGTTCAGGCATTTTGAGCCTGAAGTGGTTGTGGATTTAACAGCCTTGGACAGACTTGTCTTCCAGAAACCTTGCCAGTGGCTTTGGAATCCATGTGCAATTGTAGCATCCCCAAAAACATGTGGCAATGTTATGTCCCCAGGTTCTTGTACAGTGAACAGCCCTTGCTTGCTCACCTTTCACATGCCTTCAAGATTTCACAGTGCTGTCTCATATTCTCTCTCAGCTGTTTTTCAGGCAAAGGATCCTCCTCATTGTTACCAAAGGAGCTGTTCTATGTCATCCTTACCACTATTTTCTGAGCCTTCAGTTTGGTGTTTATCTTTCTTGATGGTCAGAACCCACACCATACACATTATTCAAGATCACAATGGTACCATGGATTTAAAAAGTGGCATGACAACATGATTTTATTCTCTATTCCTTCCTTAGTAGTTATAAGCATTTGTTCTACTTTTTTAAAACACTACAGAGTGCTGCGCTGACGCTGATAATACAATTATAATCCAAAGGACTCATTCCTGTGTTTCTCCAGTGCACCACTTCAGAATTGTCTATGGGAATGAACTGTGCTGATTCTTCCCCAGTGTGCCACATTTATCTGTGTGATCAGTTTCCTCTTCAACTGCTGATAGCTTCTGTCCTATCTCTTGCTTGACTATACAGAAGTGCAAATTCCCCACTTGGTAGCGAACTGTTCCACATTACATTGGTTTTACATGCGTTTGCTCCCTGCCAATCTCCACTTTTAAGTTTTCCTACAGCCTCACTGATGTCAAAGCATCAACCTTAAGCATTAAATTAAATTTGTCCGTCCTGAGAAGCCCTCTAGCATTCCAAAAGTGTCCTCAGTCCCTTACTAAGTTCAGCCCTCTACTTCCCATATCATTTTCTCATACACACACTGAAATATTGTCTCTCTGGTCCTGAATATAGTATTGGAATCATTACAGAGAATGCTGTTGTGTAGTTCTGGTCTTCAGTTCCAACTGCCTACACTGTTCCTCTCTCATCCCTTTTCTGTCTTTGCTACCCATCTGGACTATATGCTACCAACATGTCCTAGAAACCTGGGTCCCAAACCTCCTAGAGGTTAAGAGAGCAAACACTACGTAATAGTTTCCTCCAGGTAATAACTGAAAGAAACAGAAATAATTGTGGAAAGCAAAACCTTTTCTTTTTTTCCCCACAAAGGCCAACCGCAAACTTCAAGCTCCATGTGCTATTTCTTTATGAAGCGGATCTCAACTCCGCAACATCAATTATGGCTCTACACAAGTTGCAGCCCATTTCTGACCCATTTTGTCAAGCTCCTCCATAGCAGAGGTCCAGAAAAAGATCAGCAGGATATCTTTCAATATTCCTGCAGACATTTCTCTGCAGCCATTTATCAAACTGCAATAATTATCAGCCATTTTTTGTATTTTTACCTTTTTTCTCCTTAAAAATAATCAGTCAATATAAAAATCAGTTATATTTATGGGAAGAACTGAGCTACACAGTATTCAAGCAATAAAAATAAATATTTAGTATTCTAAACAAAAGAACAAGAAGTTGCACTATGAGCTGCAGTGTACCTGTTTGCGCACATATTCTACAAGTAATTCCAGATGCCGAGGGTCCTCACAGTTCCTGTTAAAAAGGTTTCTCCAAAGTGCTGCTGCCAGAACATGATCATCAGACAAGATTCCCTAAAGGAAGCACAGAGGGGGATGAAAAACTGCACATGAAGAGGGTCTGAACCCAAGACAACAACATTACTCTACTTGGCAACTGACAACATTAGCTGTCTCAAAGCCCACGGTTGCTATGGACTGTACATAAGAAAAGGCATCAGCATCACTCTTTGCCAGAATAGAAAAACAACCTGGCCTTAAACTAATTTAAAGAGCAGCCTGTAACAAATATTCTGGCAAGTTAATTTGGAAAAAAAAAAAAAAAACCTGGATCAGGGTATTCCTAATTTAGGAGCTGACAATTGCATTTCTATGTTATGAAATCTTTATCATAAAAATCTTTGCCTTACGGAGAAGACAGCACCACCTCACAGCATTGTGTAAAGTCCACGACACTTGGAAAAAAAACCCTGAAGGATATTTAAAACAATGTTGCAGAACTATAGTTAGGACTTTGTTACTTTGCTTTGTTTTTCTACGTTTTGTTCTAAATGAGACAGAACTACTCATCATCAAGATCTATCTAGACTTTTCCAGCTAAATCTATTATTAAATTTGGCTTATACCAGAATCACATCCATAAGTGCTTCTTGTCTAAGTTCCCTTCCACTTTTATTACCTTTTTAGACAATGTAGCGTTATCACTTTAGTCTCATAATTCCTGTCTTCTGCTCACACATTTGCCAGGAACAAGACTTTAAAATACTCAGTTAAACATAAAAAAAGGCAATATTTGTCTTTAATTTAACAAGACATTTTGTTTCCAAAAAGAGTGTCAACAAAAAGAGAACAGAAATAAACAAAGGCAGGCAGAGACATCCTGACTACACTCAAAACTATATTAAAGACTTGCATGCATAACACTGTCCACAACTCACAAAATAAAGTTTGCATTTACAGGTTATTAATAATGCAAATCACCGTGCAAAAAATAGTATCTCCATGTGAATAATGAGCATCTAAAGAGAAACACCCACTAGAACAAAAAAAAAAAAACCTACAAAAAGAGATGACATAATTGTACTGTCTCCTTGACAGTCCTGCAGACCCTTGTGCACAGTGGTGCTTTTGCCCCCCCTCCCCCCCCTTACTATTAGATACTTCCTATATAAACACCCGCTCACACAGACTCTGAATACTCTCTTTGCTTTCAAAGCATAGCTGAATACAATGGGATTCATAGGGAGGAAAGGATTTATTGATGGTCGAGCAGTGATGGTGAAGCAGTACCAAAGAACATCCCTCCTCCCATGTCCCATGGTTTAAATCAACATGCTGTGTGCTTTCTTTTTTCTTAAAGCACTTTAATTTAAGGCATAAGATGATCACGATAACTAAGTCTACTTCCATAATGCAACATTTCTCCGAAGACATGTACGGTAAATGTTTTACCCATCTGGAGTACTCTGTGTTTGTGAATTAAGTGGTCTATTTGTTCTTGCACATTCTCTGAAAACATCCTTCTTACCTCATCATATCCAAACAGAGCTGCATAGAAATTTTCTGCCATACTTCTCAAGTCTTCCTTTAGAACAACAGAATTAATCTGAAAAATAAACCAGAAAACCATCTGTAAAGGCTCTAAAGAGGTGGTGATAAGAAAATATTATCAGCTTCATGCTGAGGAGGCAAAGATAAAACAGCACCTTTGCCCACATAGGTTAGGATTTGGCTGGAAGAACGATGTTAGTGCAGTCAAACATTTTAGAACAACATGCAGGACAGCTCCATTAAGTCTGTACACAAACAGAAGTCAGTGTTACTCAGACCCTATGAATGGCAGAAAAGCCCTCAGTCAACAGCGTTGACATATAGCAGCTACTCGAGTGGAGAAAAAAAATGCAGCTGGGGAAAGAGCAAAGGCAAGGCTGTCCTTTCAGTGGCAGCATAGGCTACAATCATGAAGACTCCTCTGTATTTTCACTATTAAGCAGGTTTTCCAGACCTTCTTTGATTCACACAGGTCTTTTAGAAACTCAGCGATTTTTCAGCTTTTGTTCTAAAGCATGGACTCCAGAGCTGGACATGTTATTACAGTAAAAGTACTGTAATGATAAAGATAGATGCACCATTCCTACCGCTACTCCTTCTTTACTTGTTAATATTGACTTTCTCATTCAGGAAGCACATGAATTCTGTTTCTACTGCCTCTCACTAGAACCTCAGACATACTGTTTTTTCACTATGACTACATTTCTTTCAGAGTTTGTGATGATCCAGCTACCTCCTCCTATGCTGTATGTGTGATTCAGTCCAACTTCCACACTGACTTAGTTATGTTTAACAGTAGCTTAAATATTTGCTGGTTTGGCCTAAGCCACCACTGGCTTGCAGATGACCCCATGTAAGCTTAAGACGGAACCAAAAGAGATCAACTACTAGGACCAGAGCGATGGCTGAAATACCTTGCATGCATCTCCCTCACACAAACCGCCTATTCCTTTTGCATGTACTTTTTAGTTCCATCATCAAAACGATTTAATACATACTGCCTGACCTGAGGGCTAAGCTACACTTCAACTGGTAAAGCTGCTTCTTTGAATTGACTCTCATGAGAGCTCTAAGAGATAATGAGCATTTCTTTCCTACAGACCTTGCATACAATGTAAGCATAAACGACAAGGATCGTTATCTTCATACCTGCACACTAGCGCAACACTTAGCTCTGAGACTGCATCTTGGAGACGGGTTTTACAAAAACAGAAACTGCAAACAGGAAAAGAGGGTAGGACATCAGTTCTAGTACGGAGTAAGCATTGCTGTCTGAGGTACAGCTTATCACAAGGCTGAAGAAAAGCTGTGAAAACTCACACATCTAAAATCTTAATAGTTATGACAGTGTGAACCGCATGTCCTAAACACTTTCTCAGTATCCTTAAGAGCACCTTGGTAATTAGGCAACAGCTTTTCTATCAACACATCAATTAGTTTTTGCCACGCAAGCAAACCTCCAGCTCAAATGTTCTTCCATTAAACCGCTATCTTTTTTCATCTGTTGATTTTTATAGAAATGCATGTAGTGCAAACACAAGGAAAATTCCTTTGATGTCAGTTACTCATATTTTTCCATTAATATAAACTATTAAAATTCATGCAGATATTTTATAGGCTATCAAGATTTGGAAACTGGTTATTACTGAATGTTTAAAAAAAGAACTAAACATAAGAAATCAGAGGGTTAAATGATGACTGCAACTTCTGTAATGACTTAATTAAATTTTTATTGAGTACATAAACTATGATGTCATTTCTACCCAACCATGATCAAACTTTCTATGCATGTCAGAGATCGTGGTTTTTCTCAATAGAACATACTTCTAAATAAGCTGCACTTCTACAGCTCTAATAAGGGGGAGCAGGTCTCATGTAACACACTCAATAAATTATCCTTCCATTTTAAACAAACAAATTCCATGAGTTATTATATATTTGCCACGCACTTTTTATGACATAATAAAAATGTTACCTCAAGGATTACTTAACACATACTACAAATGTTACAGCAGGCAACTGCAAGGGGCAAAGAAAACAAATAGTCCCATTACAGAGACAAGTCCTGGACTATACATCTCTAGGGAAGCAGCTTTCTATACTAAAAACAAAGAGCAGCAGCTTTAAGTTAGCAAGGAATAGATTGATGAAGGAGATAACCAAGTTAAACAAACATGGCAATAAATACATCTTAAAAGGCAAACAGTTTAAAATATGAAATATGACTTTGGGGATGGAGCAGTATCTAGGCAATAAAATTACATTTAAAAGAATATTGCAGTTTCTGAAGAATACAACCGGCATTGGTTAAGTATAAACGTTGTAGGAAAAAAACTCTTGTTTGTAAAACAAGACAAATTATTAAATCCAAACCAGTGTTTGTTGAAAACGCTTCCTCTTTCTAAGCTTGTACATTTTCTTACTACTGGCAAGTTTTGTCATCTGGTTGGTCATGATTCTGCTGACTCTTCCACAGTTTGTTATTAAGAACAAAAATGGCTAGACAATTCCAAGTGAGTAATTGCTAATAACAAGAAACAAATCAGTAACATCTGGAGCTCTTCTAGGGATTTAGTCCCTTTGCCTTCTTTGGAACAATCCATTGCAGAACTGTTACCAGAAAAAAAATCTATATACTGAACTGACACACAGAACTAAATCTTAGTTCAAAACAAGGAATACATTTTTGGTACATCTCTCACATTTACAAGACTTTTGAAAAAAAGGAAACATACAGCTAATGTATGTTCCTACTACATGTCACAATTTTTCATTGAAAGACTCCATAATCCCACATGCTGCCTGCAAGACAACTACAGCATACGACCACTGCATTTTCATTATGATATTGCAGTAAGAAACCTCATCTTCAGCCTCAATGAGTTCAATATGCATCATTCAACAGCCAACTGGTGAGGCTTACTGCTAGAGCAGACAATTTACAGTATCAAGTCTTGGTTAAGGTTTTGTATTCTAAGAGAATTTCTAGGAAAGCAAGAAAGAGCACAGTGCTTTATTGCATACGCTGGACATGTATAAAATATCTTATGTATGAGCACAGTTTTTAAAGTAAACGCTGCTACAGGATTAGTCCATATTAATGTCTTTTGTTGAACTGAGAGCGTCCTTTTGTGATGAATCTCCTCATCCCCACCTCCCACACTTTGGTTTAGGCTGCAGAGATGTCTCAGTGTGCACAAACTGGCAACCGTGCTCTAATGCGCCCTATGTGCTAAGAGGCATTCCACTCATGGGACCAGTCTAGAACCAGGCCAAGGTAAAGATCATCCCCGGGGAGCAGGGACACTGGATCATCAACTGTTCCACTCAACACGTGTTCCTAATGCTGGTACAGACACAGCTGCGATGTCCACGGGCTACACTATTTAAAAGCACTCTAACAGGAGTTTCTTTCTGTTACGGCTTTTGCCAGCATGTGTTACAGCCTTAAGCTACTTTAACACATTAATCCATCCATAGACTATAAAGCCAGAAGGGACACTTCTAACTGCACCTTGTACATGCACTAGTCATTGAATTTCATGCAGCAATTCCCCTCTTTAGGCTATAAGTTACGGTTGAACGAGTTTTTTTTATGAAAAGATTTCAGCCAGAAGAAATGATTAGATCATAGAACCTGAACCTCTACATATCACAGACCATTACATTTCACTGAGTTCCCTCTGTACTAAGTTGTGTTTGGCTAAAGTCTATCACCCTCAGAGTTGAACATGTGTATCTCATTTCATATTTGAATTTTCTGGCTTAAGTTTCCACCCTCTCATTCTCATTATACCATTCCTGAAAACCTGCTAGAATAACAAGTCTCTTCTGTACAATGTATTTGCTCCTGTATCTGTACACAGTAGATGTGTAAGCACAGTCATCTTTTCAAACTAAGATTAGGCTCTTTAAGGTAATATTTACACTAGGCGCACTGATACACTACATCATCAGCACACTCCTGGAGTGGTCAAAGTTGTAATAGCAAAGTAGTGTTTTATGCTGATACAGTAAAAATTAATCCATCTCTTGTGCAAAACATGTTATGCAGGTATGAGTACACTTTCGTTATGACTGAATCCACTCTGGGGACTTCCGTTAGCCACACTGCCATAAACATCAATTGACTCTTACTGACAGTTTTGATTACTGGAGTGTTCAGTATTGGCAGAAGTTCCTGAAGGAGACAGACAACAAATCTTTCATGATAAAAAAAATCGTAATCCCTCAAACATTTAAGCTTTTTCCTGCACCTTCTCTCAAATTGTAATTGGAAAGAATGACTTATAATATATAGTTTACATTAGTTATAAATAATATATAACCACATATAATTATATATGGGCTTTTAAAAGTGTTTGCTGCCCTTTTAATAAATGCACATGACATTAAATGGGAAAACCTGCATACAGCCCTTTTCTTTCCTCCAATAACATAACTATTACTTCTAGGGCAGTAATTTTGAAAATGACTGAGACTGTAGCTAGGATCAAAAAGATTACATTAATAACACAGATTAAAGATATCTCTGTAGCAAGGGGCCAAAATGCCGATTTCCTTTAGGCAATCTCATACAGTTGTACAATGACAGAGATATTGCAGAAATAATTTTTCCAATCTTAATTTTCTGAGTTTTTTATTAACCACTGTTAGTCTGCAAACAAGCTTACTGGCTTGTAGTTATGGCTGCGAGTCCCCGTATCCTTTAAAATATTAACTTTTCTGATAAATTTTCTAATTACAAGTAATTTTGTAATGCACCTCAATAAATAATTAACTTCAGAGAACAGTCCTTAAAGCCTTCTTCAATGCTCAGTGACAACCTGCTTCAATACTGTACTGACCTAGACAAAAGCTAAATGTTAGATTGTATCAGAACCAGTTCCTGCCAAAATCTTCAATCCATAAAGACAACATTAATGGAAAAAGACTTTTGTGTGCTCTGCCACCTTCATAACAATTGCATGACTATTAATAACGCTCCTTAGAGCATGTTTATTTCAAGCAGACATAGAAAAGCAAGTTGTACAACATCAGCTACATATTTCAGAA